GACATGCCTGTATGTGTGTGAAATTCACAAATACCACAATAAAAAAATAAATAAATTCTGACAACAACTCCTCTGTCTGTGCCGATGACCATGTGTCATAAATATGTGCTATATACACAGTCAGGCAATGTATCAGTATCAGTACGATGCATGCATCACAAATAGGTAAGGAAGCGATCCCTGTGTCTAGATTGAAACGCACTGCAAAGTAATAAGCAGCTCATGTCAGACTAAGGCTGGGTTAAGACAGGGATATTAAATTATCAAACCAGATCCAGTCTGCAAATTCTGGCCTCCTGCAGTGCGACAGTGGATGTCTTAATTTGTCATAAAAAATGGAAAGATCTGCAAATGTAGTCCGGAGAACACTAAATCATTAAGGTTTTCCATTTTCGGGATGTATATTGCAGGCTGAACTCTACAGGCAGGGCATTTCACAGACGGATATTTGTTTGGTTGTCAAAGGGAGGGAGAGAAAGCATGTAATTTTGCCTGTCAGACACCTACTGTAAGAAGCATGGTGAGATGCTGATTACATTTTCGTCTTCAATCCAGACAGAAGAACACTTCCAGAAACCAAGGGGGACAATGAAAGGCTCACAATGTGCCCCTTACAGCGTGCAAAGAGACAGAATGGAAAGCAGAAGTTATGCGAACATGGTTATGTTGAAGTTAGCTGTATGGTAAAATCTACACAAAAGCTTGGATGTGATTAGCTGGGTTGCTCTGTGCTCAGGAGAAGGAACACACTGTGCAGGAGCAAGCTAAACTGCTGATTTAATAAAGAAACAATATGAATAGATGGTCTGGAGCAGAAGCACCTGTAATAATGACCGAGGGCTTAACACGTGCAAAACAATATAAACAAATATGTGAAAGAGCCCGAGCTGACTTCTATCCAGAGTCCACCTTATGGTTTGTTTTTTCTGAAGTTTAGAGTTTCCTCTGACCTCTGCTGCCACAAATGCATGAAATAAAGCAAATACTCCACAAGTAAATAAAGTTCTCTCCTTTCTTTTGTTGTGTCAGATTTTGTGCCTCATATGAAAACATTTGGGGTATGAAACGTGGGGAATATTTCCCATCACATACAAAATTAGCAGGCTGTGGTATTTTATTATGATACTGGGGAAAACAGCACTTGGCATGACCGGAATTACTACGACCCTGTGCAATGAACTTTCAGTCCTGTTGCCTTTTAAATGATTACTTTGAAGATGGGGACCGTCATTTGCTAACCTTAAAGTGACTTTGGTGCGTGGAGATGGCCATAGAATGTCAATGAGACAGTTAGCCTGCTATCTGTCTGCTATCAGTTTAAAATTAAAAGGACTCAAGCTGGTTTGTGATAATATAGTAATTAACTGTGAAAAATTCCAACCCCCCAAAATCACAAATCTTTTGCGGTTTCCTGAACATCTGTTGCCTTCTACATACACAGAAATTCACATTAACTCCTTGCATTCAGAGTCAAGCCAGAAACTTCATTAGACTAAAGTTTTCCTAACTGAAACTGTCCTGATAGACACTGGTTTACTTCTGTTTTGGGCCTTTCTGTTTTCTTCCTCTCACAGGTCCAGGTTGGGTCAGGCAGACTGGGGAGGAGATATTATCGGTTCTTCCTTGGCCTTAAAAAGCAGCCCAGGCTTCCAATCTTCATCTGCTTAGCTGAGTGGTAATCAGGCCTCTTCATGAGCTTTTTTGTGTAGAGTAATCTTGTGTGCCAATGTTGTTTTTGCCTCCTCTTCCAGTACGTTTCCCAGTCGGCCCGAAAAGCCGCTGCCATCATAACCTACTCACCTGTTTCGTCAAGCTGGTTCATTCTTGGACAGCTTCCCTTGGAGCTGCCTCGGCTCCATCACCTGCCTGCCCTTCCTCCTGTTACCTGCCTGAAGCAAACCAGTATGCCCGTCCTGGACCCAATAGCCATCTGTTTACAACCGATCCTGAACATTTATTTTCCCACTTTTGGGACGTGCAATTTCACCCACCAGTTTTCCGCTGGATCTAACTCTCATCTCCTCCCTCTTTCTCTCTCTCTCTCAATGGATCACCTCCTGAGGCTCTGATTGCGCCCTGAAACTCGCCCATCATTGTTGTTCCCTCTGGAGAGTTTCTCAGTGCAGTTTTCCTGTGCTTTTGGTTTTAGCTTTTGTGGAAATAAAATTGTGAGTAGTGCACAGTTCAGCCTCAGCCAAGCTTGCACCTTGACAAAACAGTACTGCATTAAATAATCCGAAAACTTTAGGTTTTAAGTCAAATATTCGGCCATTTTCACAGATTGAACACAACATCATAGCTGAATAATTCAGTGGCACAGTAAATGCTTTGGTTCACACACACATCCTTTATTCCCATTGCATAAGGCAAATATGCCTGCTATTTGTGTGCACTATGGTTGGTCATTAGTGCTGCGCATTGCTCACTTGACCCAAGGGTACGTAATTTATTTCTGGAGCCACCCATCAAAAAGAGGTTGCCTCTTGTCACACTGACAAGCACCCAATCTAATCAGCCTAAATGATGATGGGGTGGACACGTGCTAATTAGCATCAGCAGTCTGAGAATGGTATGACAAAGGACACTGTGCTTGTCTGGCTTTGTTATTCTACTAACTTCTTGTGCAGGATTTGTGTCAGTAGTTGTAAATGTGCACATTGTACAAACGATTGTGCACTTTTCTCAGTCCGAATTTATTTATTTATTTACTTTTTACAAAAAAAACCATGTATGAATCATCATGAGTAGCTGAAGCCCATGGGCAGGGTGGCATAAATTCATCAGAGGTCAGACAAGCTGCCCACACAGACACCCGCACACACACACACACTGCGACGAGCCAATGAACACAGCAACGTGCTCCAAATCTTAATGACAATCAGACAGAAATTCCAGCGCCGCTCAAAAACAATACGAGGTAACTCGAGCTGGAGTAGAAACAAGGGCTCAAAAGAGGCGTGCAAAGAAACAGCCTTTCCATCTGTAGCCCATTTCAAGCCAGTCTGTTGACAATGATTGCATTTGAGACCGACAATGTTCATCTGAGACGCAGAACTCTCCAGCAGCACAATGAAAGCACTTCTGAAGCTTTTTACTGACGTGTCATCATCAGCATCTCATCTCGCCCTGGCGAGTGTGTTTGTTTGCTGCAGTTTGGATTAATGAATGAATGCTTCTAAGGGAGCTCTTGAGTGAGACCAGAATAAGCAGCGCAAGCTTAAGCACAGAGCATAAAAATATCAAAACAACACAGTGAGCGTTGTGGGAGTTTTATAAGCGGCATGACCTGCAAGGTTAAAATTGAAAAGTTGACGGTAATATGAAATTCCTTTCACTTGTACTTCTTCCTTATTTTGCCTCCTCGTGCACAACCTTAGACAGAGAGCACTGCCACATCACTATCAGTGGTCATAATGATTTTCTCCGTGTATCTACAGCACTCAGTTACCTCACAGCATAAATGAGGGAGCTTCGTGTATCGCATTTAGCTTCGTGGTAAATGTCTCCAGATGTCTGCATATATTTACATTACAAAAATGCAGTTTATGAGCGTTTCTTTCGAGATGAAGTTAGCGGTTCAGTGAGCCTCACGAAACCTTCATCGTTTTGACAGACGGTGAAAGAAGTGTGAGAGAGAGATGTGAAGGAGTTGAAGGAGAAATGCTCAAGAAGCAAGCCCTGACAAGCGCTGTCCACTTAAAGCAACTGCTGTCTGGTGTTATCTGTGTTTCCCACTGACATCTTCCGCTGACCTCACATCACGTCTCTGCCCCTCTTCTGTTCATCTTTCTTTCTTTTTTTACACATTCTGCAGACTTTGCATTTTTTTAAAAACCCTCCTGCCTTCCTCTTATGACTATCCCATCTCCCTCTTTCTCTCCTTCCATCCTCTCCCCATCTCATCAACTCCTCAGACACTGTGTCTCACTGGTGCTCCCATTACATTGCCCAGGGTGCATCACCACTCCATCTCCCAGTAATGGATTTCCAATGCTTCGACCGTCTTACCTGTCATGTGGTCATGTCTCCTTGCTGGGTAGCATCACTCTGTAAGCTTTTTAGAAATGCATGAATACTCTCCGTGTTATTGTACTCGTTCTATCATCACTCACTCCCCACACAGAGCAGCAAAGCATGACCCCACATCTCGCTTCTCCCGCTGCACAGAATCAAGCTGATGAAGCGTCTCATCACAAGACTGACTGGATTCAAAAGCTATTTGAATCTGAGCTATAACGCAGGGATGTATTGTAAAGCAGCAGAGAAGGCGCATCATTGTTTTAATCATCACTTGTTAGGTGGGAAATGAAGTGCAAGAACTTAATATGGCTTTTTTTAACTGCACAACCATGTGCCAAATTCTGTGATAGTTGTGTGCCAGACTTTTAAAAAATGAATTTACAAATTCTTTGCTTATATTCAACGGCTTTCTCATTAGTTGCGAAATAGTCCATTTGGATACCAAATTAGGAAACCATCTATGCAATGTTACTGAATTCAAATCACGTTCGTCAGTCTTGTCAGTGTCATCTGATCTTCACTTCCTTACCTTCATCTTCAAATCACTGTCAAAAACTAAATGTGTTCAGACTGTGAACGCATTCGATCAGTTACACACAGACACATATATATACACACATAAATTAACAGTCACCTGAATGTGAGATCGGAAGTTTAAACAAGATAATTACAGTAATTACACCTCTGGCACTAAAGTACTGCCATATCTGCACATGCACGATTGCTCTATTGTTAAATATCAATCATTAGAAGAACCAGAACAAAGTTCAGCCCAATCCATAATAGAGTTTCTGTTAGATGGATGGAGACAGAGTGTGAATCATAGTCAGGTTCCCGCCCACACATGGCTTTCATTTCAGTGCAAAAATAAACTCTTCCAAAGCATATCATCAGCCAAGAAAGCACATTGGTCATTGTATTGCTGGAGTTTCCTTCACAGACAGTATAAGACACTGTGAATGTGCGAATTAGAGGCTTACCTTTGGCGTTTTCGCGCACTTTCCGTTTCTGGCATCTTTTATGTATGCTATATCCAGAAGGTCTGTATCCTGTAACCAAGAAGAAGCACAGCTAAATCATCATAAATGTCAACCAATTTCAAATTTAAAGGCTTTAAAGGCTGTTTAGGACACATTTTATGCCCGTGGAAGCTACTTTGATTCAAGGTGATGGCACACATTTCAGAGACGCTTTCCATTTTACAACCTGCCAGCTCTAAACAGTCACATGTGCTTAAGGACACACATTAACCTCAATATGGGATGTCACCTGGGAGTCATTCAGTGTAGACAGATGCTGCCCTGATGACACTCTGCTCCACAAAAGTGTCTAATTAAAACAAAAGTGAAATGTTCCCATATTGACTGATGACCTGACTAAATGAGTACTAGCTCTTTACAAACATACATAAACACTCCAAATTGCTTTTGGAGTGTTTCCTCATAAAATCTGACACAGGATTATCCAGAAATCCAAAAAGAGTTTTTATTTATTCATTTTTTACAACAGAAAATGTCATCATATGCATCATATTACTAAAAGATCTGCTGTCAAAGGGGGAAAAAAGGAGATAAGATGAAAAACTTCACACGTACACAACGTTCTGCTGCTGCATGGTGTTATGCCAGGGTCGGCAACCTGCGGCTCCGGTGCCGCATGTGGCTCTTTAGTCCTTATAGTGCGGCTCCGCGTGGTTTGGGAAAATAAATTAGAAGTATTTAGCTGAAGTGTATTTTATTTATGTTAGTTCTTTTTTTAACTTGTAGTTCTAAATTGGAAGATTATTGTGATATTGAAATATAAAAATAAAATTATATTCTATTATTTTTTCATCGCTCAAAATAAGCGTCACACTCGCGGAAGCCGGTGTACCCACCGAAACGCCGTGCATTTATCGAGACTTTCAACCCCAGGTAGGCCAATTATGGATCTTTGGATCCACATTATGTCAGCAGCTGTTCTCCACCGTGAACTATGTTAAAGACAAACACCGCTCACGCCTCACAGATGAAAGCTTACAGTCCTGCGTAAAGATAAAAGTGACTTCGTACAGCCCCGACTTGCAGACGCTGTGCGCAGAGGTTCAGGAGCAGAAGTCCCGTTGTAAACATATCACGGCAGACCCGACGATGTTTGCATGAACATGCTTTTCAGCATCTCTATGTTGACCACTTTTCACACATGGTTTCTGTATGCATACAGCCGGCTGTAGCTTTTCAGCTCACAGCCCGACACACACCAACAACAACACAACAGCCGAGACGTAAGGCAGCGAGGCGTGATTGCGGGTGCCGCTCAGGTGCGTCCGCCTCCCCTGCAGCGGCGCTGCAGACCACGCCCCGCAGCACGCATTAACCAGGTAAAATACATATTTAGGCAGAATTTTGCAAATATCTATTTTTCATCTTTTAGCAGCATAGTGCTTTTTTTCCAATTACTTTTTAAAAGTCAGGTCAAGGCTCCAACAGCCCAAAGGCGATATAAGGGTGGCAGCTCACAACGGTTTTTGTTTGCTACATGGATCATTTTAGTTCAGCTGGGTGTCTTTCCTTTTGTTATATTTCTTTAAGAGTTCAAAATGTGTTAATTACACATGGATTGTAGCACTTCATGGATTTCATAAGCAGCACAGCTTAGTTGTTCACACAAAGCACAAAGGTAAAAAAACAATATATACAGTGTTATCTTCATTTTAGATGTCAAACAGTATTTGCGGCTCCCAGTGTTTTCTTTTGCGTGGAACCAAATGGCTCTTTGGGTCTTAAAGGTTGCTGACCCCTGTGTTATGCAACAGCTAAGCATGTCTAAGCTGCATGAATGGCATTCAGCAGGCAAAGAAACACAATAGTAGTACCCTGACGAATCAGCCCTGAATATCACCACAGCTGTTATTCTATCACTGTCAGTGTTAATCCAAACAAAACCTGAACCTGATTCATTATTAATCCAGCAGCGTCTCAACCCATGTCAGAGCTCCTTGTTTCATCATATTTCAACATTTCACATCAAACTGCTTTAATCCAGAGGCAAAGCAGGACCGGATTTAAGGCAGGGGTGCAGAAAATGTAAATTTCTTTTAAATTTTTTTACTAAAACTGAAACCGGGTGATTCTGAAAAAATCCTGTTGATGAGCTCTCCGTCCAGCTAGCAAGCCAACCATAGCAAAGGCATCTGATTGCAGTATGGACACACACCCACATACAGCATGCATCTATCAACCTGTGTGCATCCATGCAACCATCGCTCCTTCAACAAGCTCTGTTTCATGCTTATTTGCAAAGCTTTAGCCCCTTAATCAGCCTGTAATGCATTTAGCAATGAGCAGACACAAGATGCAATAGCACAGAAGGCCCTTGGTGCCTTCCCTTAGTCACCACATCCCTTATCCCTGCATTTCGTTCCCTTGTACCTGTGACATGTGCAATGACAATAAAGTTGAATTCTATTCTATCAGTCTGGATTATCACACCCTCAATCTCTCTGAGAGAGAGCCAGGACATGAGGTGGAAAATTAACCAGAGTGAACTGTGTGTCCACTCAGCATTATCTGGGGAGACAAAAGGCAATGGGGGCTTGACTCGATCTCCAGCCACAACACTGATATCTGACAATCTCAGATACTCAAAGCTTGGTGGAAAAGTGCACCTGGCCAGTGCTCCTTGCAAAACACATACCCACCTTAAGTCCCACCATGAGTATTTTGCATTTAAATATACTTGTTGCTATATGGAGATCGCGGATTATTTTGTTTAAAGGCATATTTCACTCAGGCAAAGCTGAGTAAGATAGCAATTAGATTAGCACTGCAAATTGTTAGCAGGCTAAATATTTAAATTTAAAAATATTGCCACAGCAGAAATTAAAGTACTCTGTTTTACTGCAGTCCACCAGGACAAGTTATTCCTTTTCTGCAGTTCACATAGCATCAATTAGGCGGTCTTTGCTTGCACAGAGAGAGCCTCTGAGTCAAAGGTTAACGCCTACATTGGGTCTGGAAATGCCTGCCTTTGAAGTCTCTTTAGAGCGCTGGCGCTCCACATGGGGGCCTGGTGGAACAGTGGGCTTCAGGAAGTAGCTTGCTGATTCTCGCGGGGTACTTTTTGGTGCCCCTCTGGCTCCGCACAGTTAGCAGAGATCTAAGGTGGATAAGCGGCAAAGTGTTAACCTACAGTACAGAGATGACTCATTAAAAATAAACTGCCTGTACGGGCGACGAGCTGCTCGTGAAGACGAAACGTGTGTACATCTAAAAGCTTCAGTGGGCAGAGGCTCAGTCATTGCTCAGATGTAAATAAAATCTGATGCCAGTGACAGTTTATTAATAATGAGCTGGATTTATAACTGCAGATGCGGCACAGTTAGTTAATTAAAGCACTTTATTTCAGTTGAGCAGTCCAGCTATTAGTTCTCCTGTTTAATGTCTCTCATTTATTTTCTATGACATATGTTCTTTATCTGTTCTTTTCTGTCATGTCTTAATTTATCACTCTCTGTCTCTCACTCTGTCTTTCCCTCTATTCTTTGCCTCGCTCCCCAACCTCACCGCTTTTTTGCGAGTATCACAGCAGCGAGCACGGATCCAAAGCCTATTAAAATCCACGGCACGTCCAGGAACCAAGCAGGGCCAGCGGGAAAGAAACTACAGAAATTAATGAACATGCTTAACCTGCACTGGCCCCGAGCCCTGTTTTCTGTGCCTGTTTGTCTGTCTCTGCTGTGGAGCTACTGTTTACAACACGCTGCCTTCCTTTTAAAATTAAGAAGTGAGCGCTAATGGTGTTTTTTGTTGTTTTGTTTTTTCAAATATGAAACTTTGTAGGAAATTCAAAATTCAGCTGGTGCTCATTTTGTTGTCAAATGCTGCCGGCGCTTTGTATATGTAATATATACGCCATGTTTTCATGGGAAGACTTTTCACATGCGTGTGGAATGTGATACAATTGACTCAAGGCAAGACCGGGAAGAAAAGTCTGCTACAAAGTGCTTTGAATAAAACAGTCTTTTTTTTGAATATCTACAAAGGGGCTGGCAGCGTCAGAACATGGTGGGTGGTTGTATAACAAAGTAACAAAGACTTCTGTTGCCCTTTGAAGCAACACGTTTCCCCAGCTCGACTGGTACAAGCAAATGGAGGGATGTGCTGATGAGAAGAAAAAAAAGGAAGAAAGGTTAAGGAAACATGGGATAGAAGGCAGACACTGAGACAAGGATAAGTGGAAGTGGGGAGACTGACAGCCACAGCTCATTTACCAACAGCATGCTTGATAGCCTCCAGGGTTCAAAATGGATGCGCACTCCACAGGGCTCAGGGCCTCTGCTGAGCAACGGAGACAAGGAGCAAAAGGAGTGAGGGCAGGAGGGAGTGACAGATGAATACACTCAGATCAAATTAAGGAGCTGGACTGTTCTGTACCAGGACTAGTCAGTGTGGGAAAAGCATACAAGACAGTCACACTTGCTGCTGTTCTGAATCCCATATTTTATCTGCTTTATAATAACAGCAATACATGTAAAACTGTTCACTTCTATCTATTTAAAAATTAAGCAAATCAAAAAGAGCTAAAAGAGACCATCAGTCTACTAACAAGCACTTGATGGTTAATTTCATCTTGTCATGTTTTGTCTATTTCGCTGCATGTGCATGTCTTGAAACAAGCTGCCACCCAGTCAGATTCGGTTTGTTTCGTGAACTGCTGATTTGCTCAGTCTAAGTGAAATAAGGTCACACAGGCTGTATAACAAGTCAGGGCAGTCCCTAACCCATTGATGCCATCTCTTGGACTGAAATAAGCTCTTGCAAACGCAATAACAAGGCTGCGTCTGGACATGTCAATAAAATACACATGCACATACAAGAATGTGCAAGAAAAACATAATGAATTTTAACACTGTGCAGAGCTATAGAGCCCTTGCATAACCAATTACACTGTTGCAATCGCTATACAGTGTTGTCTGAGTGTTTGATGGCCCACTGACTCGAGGTCAAAGGATTCTCGGCACAGATGTGAAAAACAGAGCTATTACCCAAAAGGAACAAAACACACTAAA